GCCCCGCCCGGCCCCTCCTCGTGTCCAGGAGCCTAAGTCTCTCGGCCCTTCGGCGGGCCACGGGCACCTCGGCGCCGCAGTCCCTTCCCTGTGGTTCTTCAACCAGGACCTCCCTGTTCCCCGAGGCTTCCCTGCACCCCCCACGCTTCTCCTTGACTCCTCTCTGCACCTCCATGTCCCCCCTCCACCCCTCTCACCCCCCACCCCAGACTTCTCCCTGCATCGCCACCAGGCTTCTCCCTATACCCCCACGCTTTGCCCTCTACCCCATCAGGTTTCTCCCCCCAACCCCAGGCATTTTTCTAACCATTCTCACTCTCCAGACTTCTGCTTTTGGCCTTAGCTGTCCCTCTAATCCTCCACGCCCCTTCCTGGACCCTCTGGCCCTACCCCTGGACTTTCACTGTCCACCCAGGCCCCTCCTTGGATCCTCAGGTCTTCACCAGGCTTTTCTCTGCCTCCTTTGGCCCTTTCTTGCACCCCAGGTTCCCTAGGTTCTGTCCTCCCTGGATCCCCCAGGACCTTCCCAAACCCCGTTCTAGATCCTCAGTCCCTGCCTCCTAAGGAGGACCCTCCCGGGACCCCCAGACCCCTCTCTGCGTTTTCAGGGCCTTCCCTGTATGCCAGGTCTCCCCTCTAGCGTTTCTGGGCTCCTCCCTGTATCCTCAGGTCTGTCTTCCCCAGCTCTCCAGTCCTCCTCAATTCCCTCCTTGCTCCCCCAGGCCCTTGTCTGTAGCCCTCCACTATCCCTTCTTTGCCCATCTCTGTATTTGTTTGTCTTTATTCACATGCCCTTCTCCAGCTTCCACTCTCTTCCTTGTGCCCTCCGGTAGCACCCCCCTTTTATTTATCCCCTGTCTTCCTGTCTTTTCTGGACCCCTCTCACAACTGTTCCAGCTTCTCATGTCTCCCCCGTCCTTTGCCATTTCCCATTCACTCCTCTCCCAGGGCACAGATGGGCCTGAAGCGCCACGGTGTGTGTACCTGGCAGGCCCTCCGTCAGTGTTAAGGGTTTGTTTAGGCCTTTTTTTTTTTTTTCTTACTCTCTTTGTTTTCTCTCCTTTTACCTTCCTTTTTTTTTTGGACCCGTCTGCCTCTTCATACTGTTCCTTTTTCTCCCCCCCCCCCCCACCTCTGCTTTTGTCCTCTGAGTTCCTACCCTTCCCCTGGAATCCTTGGAGAGGGAGCAGGTGCTAGGATCCCTCCTCTGCTCTCCCTCCCCTGCTCTCCCTCCCCTCACCCTCCTCCAGGCTGCCTTGGGCTTCTTCACCCAGAGCCTCCTGACCATTCCCGAGGGCTGCTGGGGAGGGAGGCGTTGGAGACCAAGGCTGGCCTGAGAGTAGGGGTGGAGGCGGCAGAACAGTGGGTCCTGGCTGAGCGGGTGGGAAGCTTTGACTTCTTCCTCAGTGAGGGATAGAGGTGGAGCCAGCTCCCAGCTGACTCCCACCTCCCGCAGTGCTAAGCCTGGGAGGTGGGTTTTTCAAGACTGCCAATTAATCAGCCTCGCCTGGGCCAATAGGGACTTGTTTCTGAGTGTGTGTGCATGAATCCGAGTGTGCACACAGGTGAGGAGGGTTTGCATGTGTCAGGTGTTCTATAAGTGTGTGCATATGAGGTGCCTGCCCACGCCCGTGTGTGCATATGGGAGGGTTGTGTGTGTTTGGCGGGTTTGTGTCTGGGCTGCAGCGCATGAGAGAGATACTAATGTTGATGGCTGGCATTTCTCCTGGGGTTTCCCCAGTATCAGAAGTACTTGTTGCATTTCATCTTCCCTGGCAGCACTGTGAAATTAGTGTTGCTTTTATCTCCATTTTATAGATGAGGAAACTGCAGGACTCGCCAGAGTCGCACACAGCTTCTTGGGCACAGAGCAAGCACAAGGCCAGGCCCTCCACTTCCTGCTCCTGCTTTGCCCTCACTCTCCGCTCTTCACCAGAGGCAGTATGGTCCAAGGGGCACCATGGGGCCTGACAGAGTGACAGCCCGAGAACTGTGCGAGAACGACGACCTGGCCACCAGCCTCGTCCTTGACCCCTACCTCGGCTTCCGTACCCATAAGATGAATGTCAGGTGAGGCAGCCCAGGGGCAAGGGCGGCCCATGGGATTCAGGGAGCACCCCCCGCACTGCTGTCCCTCAGCCTGGTCGTCCCCTTAGCTCCAAGTGGGGGTTGGGGGCGGGGCCCGGGAAGGCCCTGGGACCCAGGTGTGCCCTCTCCCCCAGCCCCGTGCCCCCCTTGCGGCGACAGCACCACCTGCGCTCAGCGCTGGAAGCTTTCCTGAGGCAGCGGGACCTGGAGGCTGCATACCGGGCCCTGACGCTGGGAGGCTGGATGGCCCACTACTTCCAGAGCCGGGGCCCGCGGCAGGAGGCTGCCCTCAAGACCCACGTGAGGGAGCCCTCCTTTCCCCCGCCCTCGGCCGCGTGTTTTCCCTGCTCACCTCAGCTTGGCCCGACCTGGCAGATGCTCTAGAGCCCGTCAGTGCAGCCCCTGGGGCCCCCTGACTTCCTAGCCCTTGGGACCATCTGAGGCAAGGCTCAGAGAATCCTAGGAGAGGAGAGTTGGGGAGGCCCTCTGAGATGGAGTCCAACCTCTTCGTTTGACAGATGAGGAAACTGAGGCCAAAGAGGGGACGTGAGTCCCCCGAGACCACACAGCGAGTCAGTGGCAGAGCAGGCCTAGAGCCCAGGAGAGAGGAGAGAGGGCCACGGACGTCCCTGCCCCACCTCCTCAACACCCCCCTTACCCCCCAGATCTATCGCTACCTCCGCGCCTTTCTGCCTGAAAGCGGCTTTACCATTCTGCCCTGCACCCGATATTCCATGGAGACCAATGGGGCCAAGATTGTGTCCACCCGTGCTTGGTAAGAGGGTGGGACTCCCCTGGGGGCTGCGGGGAGAGGAGACCCTGCTCCCTCAAAGGAGACGGGCCCAGAGGGGACAGGGAAAAGACTCCTGTGTTCATTGGCAGCTGTCTGGGAAAGAGAAAGGGGCTGGTCCTCTGCGCACTGCAAGAAGGAGGTGGACAGGGCCCAAGAGCCCCTTGTTTCCCATTAACAGTGCTGCTGTGGGATGAGACTCCAGGTGCGACCCCGGAGTTCTTGGGGCTGCCAGGAAAGAACTGGTCTTCTGCCTGGGACTAGCTGTCCTTTCTTAATCCCAATCTGAGCTCCTGCAGTGTACCAAGCACTGCAGGGTGCAGTGAGGGAGACCCTGCCCCACTCCTGCCCCTGCCCAGCTCAGTCTGGCCTGGAGGCAGGTGGCAACAAAGTCAACATGCACTTACCAACCACTGCTGTTGCAGGCTGCAGAGGAGCCAGCCGGGGAATGTTAAGGAAGGGTTCGTGGGGTGAGGCTTAAACAGATGGGGAGGACATTGGGGGAGTACAAGTAGGAACAAATAAAGGACTAGAGGAGCTAAAGGAGGCACCCCCATACCCGGAGCACTGAAAGTGAGGGGAGACAATGGAGGAATCTCATCTGCGCTGGTGCCTGCCAGTGAAAGAGGACAGTCATGAAGGCTTCCAGCAGGGGAAGGATCCTAGGCTGGCTGTGAGCTGGAGCAGGGAAGCCTACCAGGTAGGAGGGGAAGAGAGAAACAGTTGTGAGAAGCGTAATGTTGGATCCTGCCCACAAGAGGCCCCTCTCCCTGGATGCTTCTGGGGCAAGGGGCTTCTGTGCCCAAGTGGTAGTCAGGAGGCATTGCTCACAGACCCACAGCCTGGCCTCTCGGCAGGAAGAAGAATGAGAAGCTGGAGCTTTTGGTGGGCTGCATTGCAGAGCTGCGGGAAGCGGATGAGGGGCTGTTGAGAGCCGGTGAGAATGACTTCAGCATCATGTACTCAACCCGCAAGCGGAGTGCCCAGCTGTGGCTCGGCCCTGCTGCCTTCATCAACCACGGTGAGGGCCGAGGCTGGCAATGGGGCTGGGAGGGACAGGAGCACTGGGAAGGAGGGTCCCACCCTCTCAGTGTGCTCATCAACCTCTCCTCTCTCCCCTGCCCCCGGCCAACTCCAGACTGCAAACCTAACTGCAAGGTGAGACCTGGGGATGCATGGGGTGGGCATGTGAGACGTGAGGGGCGCCTGGGGCCCGGGGGAGGGATGTTTTGGTCAGTAAAGAGCCCAGAGCTGTCACTTCTCTCTTGCTTCCCTCTTGACAAAGCAGTTTCTCACTCTTAGTAGCCACTTGTGTTTGGCTATGGTGCCTAGAACGGGCAGAGTGGGTGTTTGTTCCCAAGGCTGTCAGAAGAGGAAGGGGCTTTGGCTTGGCTGGTGTTGTCCCAGCTGTTTGCACAGTCATGCTAGACCCTGGCTTGCCAGCTGCTGGTGGCATTCTTTCCTCTCTGAAACCAAGCTGGGAGCTTTGCTAGTTTGAGAGGGGAGTGTGGTGATAGGGAGATAGAAAGTGGCAGCTAGGGCCTGGTGCCCAGGACCCTCATCCTCCCAGGGAGGCTGCACAGACAGCTGTGATGACAGGAGCAGGGGAGGGGCTGATTCATGCCACTGGGTGAGACCAGAGAGAGTGGGCAGAGGGGCAGGGCAAAGTGGGAGGAGCCACCAGTGCTTCGGTGTGATGGAGCAAAGGGATTGAGGGGAGAAGGCCCCACTAAGGCCCTGAATGTGCACTCTGCAGAGCAAAGACCTTGAGCAGCATTGGTGGGATTCCCCAAGGTGTGACACAGGAGTCAACTAGGTTTGAATCCTGGCTGTACCACCCTGGCCTTGGTTTTTTTTTTTTTTTTTTTTTTTTTTTTAAAAAAAATGACCGGTAAGGGGA